GCTATGCCAAGGGAGCCTCCCATGCTCAATCCCAGCCTCGAGCCAACGGTCCAGTGACGTGCGGCGACCCATATGAAGACGGCGACGCAGACAATGGAGATTAATATGTTGATGATGAGTATGATCTGGCGATGCACTTCCTCATAAGACAAGTCATCTTCTTCGCTCGTTGTCTGTCGAGCACCGATGCTGAAGGGTTCTGGGGCGTGGGGGAAGCGCTGGGAAAAGGTTTCGCGGGTAGGCGGTGGATGGAGCATACGCTCATAGGAGAGGGCTTCTTGCTCAGCGCGGAGGCGAGCCATGAGGGCCTCGTACTCGGGCGTCTTTGCTGGCTTTGGGGGCGGGGGCGGGGTGTACAATGTGGTGTTGGTGAGAAGAGATGCGAGAGTCCTGGGAATGGGTTCTTCGGCATCTTTTGTGGCCTCGTCACCAGTTACAAATTCATCTGACTTCGAACGAGGGAGATGCTTCTTGAGCAGCTTGGAGAGGTCGACCAGCTGGCTGTGTGAGATGGGGTTGCCTGGTGTGGCATGTACGAGCGTGGGTTCGTCGGTGCGTTGCAGGCTGGCGTACTCGTCGGGCGATAACTCCTCAGCTTTTGCGACTGCCCGGACAATACCGGGCGTCATGGTTAGAAGCACCATGGTGGAGTGTGATTGTATGTATGGTGGTGGTATGTACTGGTCTGGAAGAAAGTTCCGACATCTCACGCATGTGCGGCACGTCGGTATCGCCAACGTCGCGACTGGCAGGGATAATGCGGCGGCCGTAGGGAGCTAGCGTTCCGAACGTCATGGATATTTTAAACTTACCAAATCTCGGCCGTAGCTTACAGGCCAACTCCAATTGCGCGGCAACTAGCTCACCTCCGCCCACTTCCTCTGCTGCTGGACCCTGCCAGAATTGCTCAATTGCACCTGGAAACCGCCATTCGCCCTCTGCGACATCGCCAGCACCCAAACTCCCCCTCCATGTTGAGCCGCTCTCCCCGGCTCGTGCCGTTTATCGCGCGACCGCAAACCTCCTCTCCTTCCTCTACAACATACCGCTCGATATGTCCCTACAGTAGCGTCGCCCTCTCACGCTCTATACAAAGCCAGAATGCTGCCCCGACACTGCACCACCCCTCCCGGCGGCGGCACCAATCGTCCTGGGCTACCGCTGTGAACGTTGCGCAGCATGTGCGGGCGACACCGCCGCCAGATGCGCCAATAAAGATGGATCCTTTCCAAACAGTGGCGCGAGAAATGAAGTTTTTGACAGGCAACATACGGCAATTGCTCGGCTCTGGACATCCCACCCTCGACACTGTGGCCAAGTACTACACGCAAAGTGAGGGGAAATATGTACGGCCCATGCTCGTTCTGTTGATGAGTCGCGCTACGGCCCTCACACCCCACCGAAATGTTGCGAGGGGTGGTATTGGTAGCCAAAGCGCAGACATTAGCATAACAAACCCGAGTATCCTCGCAGACGAGAACCCAGACACCAGCCCCATTAGCAGCATACGACATGACTCTGCGTACACTCCAGAAGACAGCGACATTCTCCCTTCACAACGGCGGCTCGCAGAAATCACCGAACTCATCCACACAGCCAGTCTGCTCCACGACGATGTTATCGACCACTCCGTCTCGCGCCGCGCTGCGCCCTCTGCAAACATTGAATTTGGCAACAAGATGGCAGTGCTAGCCGGAGATTTCTTGCTAGGTAGAGCATCCGTCGCGCTTGCTCGTCTGCGCGACCCAGAAGTCACAGAGTTGCTTGCTACGGTCATTGCCAACCTCGTCGAGGGCGAATTCATGCAACTCAAGAACACTGCGCGCGACGAAAAGAACCCCATCTGGACTGAGGAAACCGTCTCGTATTACCTTCAAAAGACATATCTCAAGTCGGCCTCGCTCATCTCAAAGAGTTGTCGTGCCGCTGCTATCCTCGGTGGTTCGACTCCGGATGTGGTCGAAGCGGCGTATCTCTACGGCAAGAATCTCGGTCTCGCATTCCAGCTTGTAGATGATATGCTGGACTACACCGTTAGCGAAGCTGAGCTGGGAAAACCAGCTGGTGCGGATTTGGAACTCGGACTAGCGACTGCGCCGCTCCTTTTTGCGTGGAAGGAAAATAAGAGTCTGGGCAAGTTGGTGGGCAGGAAGTTTTCGGAGCAGGGGGATGTGCAGCAGGTTAGTCTTTTCTTTCTTTTCTTTTTCTTCGTCTCCTTTTCTCTCTGAATCAGCATTGCACTTTCTAATTCAGCGGAAAACTATGTACCCCAGTTTCGAGAAATTTATTGCTAACATCACAACCACAAGGCCCGCCAAATCGTCGCCCAATCCTCAGGCCTCGAGCAAACCCGTGCCCTCGCCCAGGAATACGTCGATAAAGCCATCGATGCTATTTCCTTCTTCCCGGACTCGGAAGCCAAAACTGGTCTTGTGGAAATGTGCACAAAGGTTATGAAGAGGAGGAAGTAGAAGAATATGCGTAATCTTGACAAAAAAAGAAGAGAGAAAGAAAAGTAAACAGTAGATTTTTTCGGAGGAGCTGCTCTTGGACCTTTTGGGTTGGAAAGCATAGTAGTGCTGTGCTGCATTTGTTGTCATCTTCACTATACATTTTGTTCTTGGTCGAAATGGAAAAGGGATGTTGATTTGCATATATATATATTCCCCCCCACTCCCCCCCCCTCTTCTTACTTATTTCACCCTTTCTCTTCTTTCACTCTTTGAATGCTTGTTTATTCCCACTGGCATTCGAAATAACATGGTTGTTTTGAACTGATGGGAAAAAGAAGCAGGTTATACAAGTTGAGAAGAAAAACGGGGAAGAGTTCATGTACGAGTATGTGGTGTACAAGATATAACGATCTGCATATTTGGTCAAGATTTCACATTCTGTCCTACAATTTTATCGGAGTCTATCATCATTCAGAATATCTACTCATCTCCTACACAAAAAAAACCCGTACATCTATATATCCGCCTCAAACGGCCTAACAATCTGACCCTTTTCCTGCAAGTAATCCTTGACCTGCTTAACCGTGTACTCGCCTCTGTGGAACTGCAAAAAGGATTAACAAACACATCCATTATACACTTTTGGTTCCAGCGACTTACCATTCCAGCACCCAACGCAGCATCCGTCTTCGTCTTCGCAAACACCTCTTCAAAATGACCCGGGTTACCCGCTCCACTACTCGCAATGACAGGAATCTTGATAGCGCTCTTGACATCGTTGATGAGTTCAGTGTCGAACCCGCTATTGCTGCCATCTTTATCTATGCAGTTAAGTAGAATCTCGCCTGTGCCCATAGCCTCAACGGCTTGAACAAGCTGCCGAACGTCAAAGTCTCGACCTTCGCGTCCGCCCTTGATGGTGCACTGGTACCAGCAGTATTCCTCGCCGTTGGGGCCAGGAATAGCCGTCTTGATGGTGTGGTGGGGAGTTGCGTCAGGTGAGGAGACGTATATACGTTTAGGGTCTACGCTGACGACGACGGCTTGGTTGCCGTAGGCCGACGAAATGGTTTCGATGGCCGTGGTACCCGAGAGCTTGCTGCCTCGCGCGTAGTACTCTTCGGCTGCGGTTACGGCGTCCGAGCCGATGCTTACCTTGTCCGCACCAGACTTGAAGTACATGGTGGCGATGTCCAGAGCGGAAATCTTGGTGCCGTCGGTGTCAACGGTGTCGCGGATGCCTCCGCCTATTGTGAGAGGGACGAAGACTGTCTCGCTTGTGCGACGCAGGATCTCGAGCATCGGTGTATCGGCGACAGGGCAGTTGCGGAAGGAAGTGATGTTTAGGAAGGTAACTTCATCAGCGCCTTGCTCGTAGTACTTCTTGGCCATCTCGACGGGCTTGCCTAGGTTTCGCACTTCGTTTCCAGCACCCGACTTTTCGCGCACATCGTACTGATCGCCTTTTGTCACGACGAGGTCACCCTGGTCGTTGGTCCGTACGTCAAGGCATGCAATGACTCGTCTTGTAAGGCCTTCTTTTGTGTCGACTGCCGATGGCTTCTCGGAGAGCTTCTCTGTCTTCTTTCCTTCCAAGAAAGCCTTGAGAACGCGGAGACCTGCAGCACCACTCTTTTCGGGGTGGAACTGTGTCACGAAGATGTTGTCCTTTGCCACTGCGCCCACGAACTCCTCGTCACCATACCGCGCGGTTGCGACTGTCCATCCTTCCTTCTCCAACTTGCCCTCCTCGTAAGGTACAGCGTAGGAGTGAACATAGTAGTATTTGGATGTCGGTCGGAGCCCGTATAATGACTCATCTGTCACCTCGCCAGGCCGTGATGTGTTTGCGCTGTTCCATCCGATGTGAGGTACACTCTTGTCTGTGTCTTGAAATCTACGCAAGCGCGCTGGTATCACACCCAATCCCTTGACTTGTGCATCCTCTTCGGATCCTTCAAATAGCGCTTGTAGGCCGACGCATATTCCCATAAAAGGCTTCCCAGCCTTGATGTGTTCGCGAATCGGCTCGGTGTAACCGGCCTTTTCTAACTGAGATAGACAGTGGCCAAAGTGTCCAACACCAGGGATGATAAGTTTCTATGGGTGATGCTGTATCAGCACTTGTCAATTGCTGTACACTTCTTGGTCGTGGAGCAGTAGTACCTCTGCCTCGGCAACTTGAGCAGGTGACTTGACCCATTCTACCGTGTAGCCAACTTTTTCAATGGCATTGACGAGGGATCGGACGTTGCCAGCAACATAATCGAGCATGTGAACCTTCGACATGGTGAAATAATGTTTCAATGTTTTAGATGATAATAAGGAACTGTCTGACTCCAAACGGCGCGGTGGAAGGAAATTTGGATGGACCCCTCCGTCATTGGAGGGAGGGGCAGCTACAGCCACGCTAACGACTAGTGCCCGCAGAATCCCTGTCAAACAAATCTTTGGATCTCCGTCCTCCGCGCAACATTTTCCAAGGAACGCCGTCTTCACATCCACAACCCATAAACTCCCACACGCACCCAGTCGCCCGTCGTCGCAATGGTGCGCAAACTGAAGCATCATGAGCAGAAGCTCTTGAAGAAGGTATGCGCCTGCTGGGCCGAAATCCACCACGCGACAGAACACTTCAAATGCTAATTCTATGCTGTTAGGTCGACTTCAACACCTACAAGAGCGACAATGAGTAAGTGCAATGGATTATTCATACATTATGAGTGATACTAATTTCGTGTCAGTCACCGAGAAGCAGCGGTAATGCGACGCTATGCCATCCAAGGCCGAGATGACTACCGAAAGTACAACCAGCTCGCTGGTTCATTGCGACAGCTCGCCCATAAGATTGCCGCCCTCGACCCTTCAGATCCCTTCCGACGGAAACACGAAGACCTTATGCTAGAAAAGCTATGGGACATGGGCATCCTTGGTACCGGTGGTGGAGGCAGGGGAAAGCTGAGTGACATCGAGCACAAGGTCACCGTCTCTGCTTTTGCACGGAGGAGGCTGCCTGTTGTCATGACGCGCCTGCGCATGGCTGATCACATTCAAGCCGCTACTACGCTCATTGAGCAAGGTCACGTCCGCGTGGGAACAGATGTCATTACGGATCCCGCCTACCTCGTCACCAGGAACATGGAGGACTTTGTGACCTGGGTAGACTCTTCCAAGATTAAGCGAAACATTATGAAATACCGCGACAAGCTGGACGACTTTGAGCTCGAGGCTTTGTAAGGGACACAGTGGATTTCCAAAGGGCGGCGTTTTGGTCATTTCGGCATTTCAAGGCGTTTTGTATTGGCGATATCCGACAATGAGAAGGAAAGAATTTAACATTTACTAACATGAATTATTCAATGGATTTCCTGGCACCACTAGCAACATTACGCTTCAAGCACCAGCATTTCTACTAGATTTCCGAACTATGGTCTGCGCATCAACTAAAAAGAAGAATTAAAGATGTAACAGAATAGAATCAAAAACTGCTACTCTCTCAAGTTGTTCCGAGCTTTCTTGTTGCATCCTTGGGCAAATTCGTTTCAATTGCATACATTAGCGAGATCTCCCAAGGCACTGATAATATCAGGATGGGAGGTGCTGTAGATATCTTGCTCTTGATAAATATCTGCCCAAGTGCGCACTTCACAACGCAGTCAAAGGGTCTATGCGCACCAGACCCCAGCTTGGCGACATATACGCTCGAGTCCTAAGTAGTTTAAAGAAAAGCCGTATGCAAAGCAATCACACCAACATGTATCTCTGCCTTAGCGCTTCTCTCAGTTTCATCATCAGCATACTTTAGCTTTGCTTCTTCCGCCCTCTTGCTGGGCTATACTATGAGGCACGTTTGACCCAGGAGCCTAGTCACTATGGTTTCGTGTGTGCTCAACTTAAAATCAAGCTCAAAGAGTTTATAAAATCGAGATAAGTATAGAATACAATGTCCTGAACGCAGCGTGCAGTGGTGGGGACGGCGAGCTTACCACATTGTCGTGAAGGCGGGGATGTGGGTCTACTCACGAACGCGCGGGGCATACTTACACCACTATCTGTACTGCTACCGAAGACCGACCGAAGTGTTTTTTTGGGTCATTTGGAATGCTATTTCTAGGTCCAACAATATATATTACACAGGAGCGTATCAGCCATCGATCCTATGTCAAGTTAGTATTATTACCAATAATCAATGGGTACGGCTCAAAGGCAAGATAGTACCTTCACCCAAAGTCCCCAATATCTTCCATCACCATAAAACTTATTGCTGTCGCTGTACGATTAGGTTTCTCTTCCACATCAGGGAATTGTCAACGCTTAGTTACGATATGCCACTCAATCTTCAGCATCACGTACGACTTGCCCTGCTCAAAATCATGACGCCTGTCACGTGGTATAAAAAGGCTATATGAACAAGGCAGACACCAACATCCATTATTATGGGCCGCCGGTGAGGGGGAAACGTGACGAGGATACTCAGGATTGCTAAGTGTGTCAACCTATGATTAGTTCGTTGTTATCCCCACCTGCCACATACAAGGGTGTCAAGGCATTCAGAACAGCCTCGCCACCTCATCGACGTTATCTCAAAACCGGTCAATCCAGTGGCGAAAAACAAGCTCCTGAGCGTCCGAAGAGTCGAACTGACTACGATGTATGTACACCATTCGACATACAATTCAAATTCTTCAGGCTGTTCGCATGCATACCATACACCTTTCGCAACTGACCCTTCCTGAAATCTATTCTCATATCTAAAAACCTGGGGATGTTCCATCTTTTATAAAGGATTCTCTTATTATTCGTAATGCAGTACAGGCCTCTTGACGACAGGAAGAACGAAATCCGAGTCCTGAGGTTCCTTGATGTATCCAGCCCTGTCCTAGCCGAGGATCCTTTAGAATGCTCTATTGAACACGTGCCGCTGGAATACTGTCCTCTCTTTCAACCCCTCCAAGAGAACCTGCAAACTCAAGCCGGCCCGGTAGTATGGGATGTGTTTACCGAGTGCGTAGATCTACGAGATTCGACGCTGGAGCAAACAATAACTCACGAGGCTAAAAACCTTGGTACAACCCGAAATCACAAGCAAACCAGCGGCTTCCGTTACACTTGGGGTGACTTCGAGGCTTTGTCCTATACGTGGGGTGATGGAGATAACAAAAGACGGATTTGCGTAAATGGAAACGACATCGATGTTCCAACCAATCTCGAGAACGCGCTAAGAGCTTTGCGTGGTCTGCCAGAGACACGTTTGGGTATGTGTTATTGGGTGGATTCGTTATGCATCAACCAGCAAGACGAAAAAGAAAAGAACAAGCAGGTCAAACGCATGAAAGATATCTACGGTCGAGCTAGGGCTGTGGTTGTCTGGTTAGGCCAAGAAGAGGAAACAGACAGCCTTGCAGTTGAGATCATGCGTTTTGTTTGCCGGAAAGAGATGCTACAGCCCAGGTGGTACTTGCTGTCTAGCGCACGGTATGCACTTGTCGCCTTCGCAAGAAAGACTTATTGGGCCCGATGTTGCATAATCCAAGAGCTCGCCATGAATCACAACTCGACCTTGCTATTATGTGGTAAATTCAAGCTCACAAGAAGGATGATAGGCCTCGGCGTTCTCTGCTGCCAGAACCTTTTAGAAACTACAGATGTGTTGGATTACCAGCCCGATGATGACTTGTGGCAAGATACACAGGCTTTGGTTAATCGATTGTATTGTCTATTAATCCTCGCCTTCAAACCAGATGTTGGAATAGGTGTTGGCACTTTGTCAAGCCTGACGCGGTTCAGAGGCTACTATCGACAAAGACAAAGTGTATAGCATACTCGGCTTGGTAGATCCTGCTATCTCTGCGGATATCATTCCGGATTACTCCCTTTCAGAGCAGCAGGTCTTTACAGATTTAACAAAATCTGTTGTCAGAGAATCTGGCAGTTTGGATTATATCCGTTTTGGAGGCATTCCGGAAATCAAGGGGTGGCCATCATGGGTGCCTGACTGGAGACGGCCGTTTTTGCTTAGACACGTTCGCTGCTATCGATCTTTTAAAGCGAGCGGAGACATACCTGCCAAATTTCGATTCGAGGATAGGGAGGAGAGTGAAAGCCTCCTCATTTGCAATGGATTCTATGTGGATGTAGTGGATAAAGCTGTGACAGAGACTTCCCAAATCGGACACTTCACTCGATCGATTACCGACTCCAATAGATACGGTACCCTAGTACGTCAAGCGATACACCAAACCATGCTTTTGGAATGCCCTGATGTGACGGAAGAACTACTCTTTGAGATACCATGGATGCAGAATAGCGACGAGTATCCGGCTTCGAACGACCCCCTCGCTGACCAGGAGTGGCTAAAAATCTTGCAGTCGAGATACCATAAGTTTTTCCATAAGTTCAGAGAGAACAACAAAAATTTCACCATAGGAGGCCAAAGTTTTCAAAGTCTCTTCCCACAGTCCGTCAAGAGGAATAGTGATATTTCAAAGATTTCAGAAGCTGTGATTGAAGCTGGGTTTTGTTTGACGAAAAGAATTCTCATCACAACGAAAACCGGATATCTGGGTCTGGCTCCAATAATGATCCACGCTGGAGATGTTGTTGCTATCTTGTTAGGATCGCAAATCCCGATACTTTTACGGCCAGTTGGCGATAATCGTTTTCAATTTGTAGGGGAATGTTATGTTCACGGACTCATGGACGGGGAAATACTATCTGATGAAGATGTTGCCCACCAAGAGTTTGTTCTATGTTAACAGATTTCAATGCATCATATTATCAAGACGTAAACGCATCATCGCAAGAATTTGGAGATACTTTCTCGTATTTAAACCAAAATCCAGCGATTGATGACAGGTGATAGTTGCATTTGAAGGCTATATCTAATGTCCATACCTTGGCCTGGACGCAAAGAAGACACACATGTAAAGCTCTGGTAATGTATCGATGAATTGGCACTTCAAATATCTAAGGTACCGTAGCTTTTATTAACGTCTTTTCCTGCAGTGCTTTCCGATCCAATTTCTGGACTGCGATGGTCTTGCTTGTGTACTTTCTCCTGTCCACACTCGGGATGAAGAAAGCTGCTATAACGCCCAAAAGCCCGAAAGCCAGCGCAACTAGATAGGAAAGATGTGCCCCCTCGAGATAGGCTTGCTTGTTGCCCAGGCTAGCGGCAGCCTGAACGTCAGGTGTGATACCTGGAATCGCCGCATATGTAGCAGCGTTATTTGCTCTCGCAGCTGCGATGAGCCTAGTAACGATGGCAGGAGGGAGGTCAAAAGGAGCTAGATTAGACCTGACACGCTCAGGTAGCAGGTCTCCATATTTGTTGTTGGTAACGTTTCCGAAGATGGCTGTCGCAACTGCACCAGCAAGGAGGCGCGAAGTACCCGCCAGGCCAGCTGCAGTACCTATGTCTTTTTGATAAATTATTCCAAATCCGACCAGAACCATGCCATTGAGCAAGTTGACCGACGTGCATGTTGAGATTATGACAGTAAGAACGATCGATTTTACGGGGTTTTCCATCGTGGAGGTTGACATGGCGCCAACGCAAGCGGTTTGCAAAGCGACAGCAAACATGATGACCCAACGTTGATGACCGATGAGTTTGCTGAAAGCCACAATGATACCTCCAATGATAGTGCCTAGTGGGAGGACTTCGGCGTATAAGCCCTTTGATATCTCATCAGTTGCGTAAATGAGCTGCGAGAGACGGGGCCACAGCGTCGCGTTCGAATAATACTGCATCCCACCAATGGCCATAACCAGCATGGGAACTGTGAAATGTCTCAAAGCCCGGAACAGGCGAGGTGGGAATAGAGGCGCGGAAAGGGTATAGTAGGCCTCGTAGAATCCCAATCCGATCAACGTGAGTAGGCCAATGATAATAGGAGCGAGCACAGTTGCGGACACCCATGGAGCCATTGAACCACCCCAACTCACTCCAACAATAAACAGAGTACATCCAGCGAGGAACAGAAACAAGCCCAACCAGTCAAACTCCCTGAGAAGCTGTCCGGCCGACTTACCGTGCTCATTCTTCTTCTGCTCCCAAGACGGCGGGTTATAGAACAAAACCAGCAGACCAAGATTAACAACCTGGAAAGCAATCATAACATAATAGCAAATCCGCCAATTCCCCGTCTCTTTAATAATAACCCAACTCACCAACGGCATAACCTGCGCCACAATCGACGCAGCATCAAACAGCCCAATCGTAACATGCCGATACGCACTCGGCACAATCTCCTGCACCGCTCCAAACGCCATCTCTAGAAACCCTGAGCCGCAGCCAAACAGCGCGCCCCCAGCAATCATCTGGTCGATGCTTCGGCCCGTGGCACTGACGATACTGCCGATAATGAGGATGATGGCGCCGGCGATGAAGAAGTAGCGGCGCCCGAAGATGTCGGAGAGGCGGCCGCCAACTGTGACGAACATGGCGCCTCCGAGGTTCCAGGATATTGTTATCCAGGTGTAGCGTGGGTCGGGGCCTAGGTCGGTGTTGATGTAGGTGAGAATGGCAGGGGGGATGAGGAGGGTGAAGAGGTAGGCGTTGTAGCACATTGCCATTGAGATGGCGGCCATGAGGGTGTTGACTGGGTTTGGAGGGTTGATTAGTTGTTCGATGACTGTAAGGCTGGGAATACGTACATGTAAAACCTACATCTTCTCCTGTTGTTTGTAGATGTCGGACGATTTCTTCGTTTGCGTCTTCCTCTTCAGAACTCCAGCCATGGTCTGGGGTGTTTGCGTTGTTAATGTTGTGTACATTCTCAATGCGTATTGAGGATGGTTTCTCGTGTTCAATTCGTTCAGCCATTTTGAAACCGAATTGAAAAATCGCCAAATGATAACAGAAGACCTTAATCCACGAAAAACTCGATAAAAGAAATCAATCATACGTTTAAGGACCAGGAAGATTGCAAGTGTGAAGGATCAACATGAGACTTCATATGATCTTCTCTTCGAACCCCATTCCAACATCCCCACACTAGCCGCAATCCCAGGAAATGCTCATCAATTCTGCCCTACACTAAACACGCCACTACTGCATCGAGTTGTTGAAAAGTTGGGTAACTTTCCGGGGGATACGCCACCCACCCGCTGCTGGGCCCCGCTACCGCTCATTTCAGCTAAGCACGACAGGTGTAGTGGCGTCGATCACGTCGTATAATTGGTGCACGGACTAGGAAATCGGAAAAGGTTAGCCAAGTAGACCAAACTGTTGGAGATTCGCTATGGGTATTGTTGTCCTTTCGCAAGCGCAAAAGTTCAATGATTGTCTGTGTTGGTGTGCTAATAGAATGGTGGCGAAAGTATGCGGGTTGTCAGAATTCAACGCAACCAAGTCCTGAATAAGAAGCGACTGTTTAGGCCAAGCGGATAGATAGATTTTAGGTACTGATACATGGTGTTTTATGATTGCCATGTTGTTGTTTTTTTCCAAGTGAAATTTAGACGCAGGGTTCATCTGCTCAGACCCTATCCCACGTTTCAACCACGTGCAAATATCCGGACCCCCGCCTACCCCTCTCGCCTGCCCATCCGGCCTATCCGCTACGACCAACTTGGCTTTGAACCTAGTCTTTCTTCTCATTTTCCATTGCAGCAATCTCGATATCGGTTTTGTGCCAGTACTCGCCCCACGTGCC